AGAGAAAATGAGCTTGAGGAGTTGGAGTTCGAGCCAGAAGCGTTGTTTGAGCCAGACATCTAAAAAGAAAAGGAACAAAGTTTTGATTACATAAAGAATCCTTAATATAACACCCAAATGAAATATTAAGGCTAGGACCCAACACAATAATTCACAATTCGGAAGAGGGATGCCGTAATCCAATTGCAAATTATTTAAAGGTGGGTAAATGACGATTTACCAATTCCGCCACGAAATGCTTTGGATCTAGGTGCACATGCAACCCTAATTACTTTGGATCTAGGTTTTTCTCAAGTTATACATGCAAATCAATTTTCCAAAGCAAGAACCCTAAACTAGCATACAGTTTTCGGATTTAACAAATAAACTAGGGATAGAAGAATACCTTTCTTGTTACCTAGTAGTAACAAGCAACCCTTTCCTTGATCTTGACCTTCAAGAGCTTAGTGCCTTAAGCGTTGCACCTCTAATGGAGTCACAAACACCACAAGCAAAGAATGAGGAGAAGGGAGAGAGGCAGAAATTGGATAGGGTTTCTTCTAGGGAAGCAGTGGCCGATTTCATGAGATTGGGGGGTTCCTTTTATAGTTGAGGCTGCTAGGGTTTTCAACTGGAAAACCTAATTCCCTTGCTTAGGCCATAAGCAACACATGGACCCCCATATGGTAAGCCTTGGACGAAAACTCTATGGGCTTCCCATAGATTTTCGTCCACCCTTTACCAATAGGATCCATTAGCCCAAACTACAACTATTATTGATTTACATAATCAGTCCACATTCTTTTAATCGGTCTCTTTTGATCACTAAATTAATTTCTAATCAATACTAATTAAATATTATGATTTCCAATTAATATATTATTCTTATAATATATTAGTAAACCATTAATTAACCTCTTCTCCAAAACTCGTCCTATCAAATTGCTATGGTGAAGGCAACCCAAAAGGACCATGCTACTATCGGGTCAAGTACATACCAATTATAGTTATGGGCTTAGACACCTAATCCAACATATATATATATATATATATATATATATATATATATATATATATATATATATATAACATAAATAAAGGAGAGGGTGAGAGATATAACTCACCTTATCAGTTAGTGAAGACTAACTAACATTTCTTGACTCCTTTCTCCAATTAACGAATCTTTACTCATCTTCCTGTTCAAGGCCTATTCATACAACAATTCAAGTTCCTTAAAACTTGTCTTAGCCTATTAAGATATTATCTACTTCTTAATATAAAAATGATCACATAATTAATCATAATTCTAACATTTCATTATCTAACTCTTTATCTCGCCCACTTAATGAATTAAGCATCCCACAATGCCTAATTCATCACAATCTAACTCTAATGCATCAATTACACATAGTCACTAGTTTAGGGTTTCAAACACTAACTTCATACTTGGTGATTTTACCATCGAAATCATACATAAAGCTCATACAAAGCTTCTAAACACTATCACTAACATCATACTCAATCTATAGGCTAATCAAGCCAATCAATCTAATCAATTCATCAAAACACCATTAAGCCCTAACTAGCTTAATTAAGGAGTAGATGAATACCTCATATTTTTTTTACCTTCAATCCAAGCCACCAACACCCATTATCGCATCTTGATCGTCTCTCTTCCTCGGAATCGTAAGAGCTCAACTCCTATGGCTTGGGGGTGTCAAATGGTGGGGATGAAGGGCTTAACAGACTTAAGTTCTGATGCGTAGCCACGCCGCAGATACCTATTCTCCATGCCACGGCGAACACTTTGACCTCGGTCAATGGCTACTTAAACTCTTTCCACGCCGTGGACATCTTCTCGTAGGCATCCTACTTTGGCCACCGCGTCATGGCACATGCCGAGGAGCAATGTACACTGCTATTCTTTTCTTACGCAAATCATTTTCTGCGTCACAGATATATACTCTTCGTGCCGCAGAAACTACTTAACAGTAGTTCCTTTAGCTGATTACATTTTAGCTTTTGGACATTTTTGTCCCAAATTCTAACCTTCGTATCTTCTTCGTTTCTTACCCGTTTTCGATGTTCTTTATATCCATGCGAAGGTGGAAACATACTCCACACATCTGTTAATTCATCTCTACTAACTTATTACATGTCGTAATCTATTAATTCACAAACTTTTGCCCAAAAAGCATAAAATACTCATTTTACCCTTTTGACCAATAATGCATCTTCTCATGCATCCTTTCTCTATAACTTACTCGTCTAATCTCTTCTAAGTGACTTAAACTTATCTTGGCCATTTTCATAAAGTCATAACTTCATAATCTCACCTCTTTCTCATAAATGACCAAATTACCCCTTTTGGTCAATATTTGGCTAAAAGCCATCTTACTCTAAATTTCATGTTCTTACATCTTTGGTCTCACTAGGCCACTCTAAGACTAATGACCTCGTTGTGCTGCTCGACTGAATCCATGAGCGGTCACGTCAATCAGAGAATGTGATGTCGTTATTCTTGTGATACTCGACTAGGCATTATAGGATCACACGATCTCCAATATTCTCTTCTGGTCAATACGATAACTCCTCTAAGAAAGAGAAACAAATGACAACTAACAGTTCCATCCCACTATTCACCTTGTACGAACTTGGGGTCAAGGATCCCAGTAAAGCACATATGTCTCTCTACTGTAAAAGGATCGTGGAAAAAGAGATAACCAACTCTAACACACAAAAAATAACTCACTCGAAATGCACTTATTTCTAGCAAACATTGACCGGATGATCGGAGCATGTTCTTGGGATCTCCTGCAGTACGACTGAATTCTTATGGTGTGATCTCAAGTATCACAATAGCATTGTCAACACGCAACTCAAACCCATTTAGATCAACTTTGTCGTACATTATCACATAATGATATTACTTGGACAGTGATCAAATTGTTTTCACTTTCCTTGAAAACATAAGCATTATGTCTCAGATTGATATGATCATATAACACTTTATTTCGTAGGCACAACAAAGTAACAATTGGAATCATATTGTTAATTTATTGTGAAAATCGTTAGTTCTAAAAACTAGAGTATATCATCTATTTATGCTCACGAAATTCATATAATGGATAAGGATGACGAGAACTACAATTTTTATAAGTTATTTGTGCTTACAGTTCGATTATAATTGTTTTCAAAATTTTATTTACAACTGTTTTAGCATACAATTATTGTGGTGTACAACGGTTTTTGCTATACATCACACGCACACATACAATAGTTTTGCACATACAGCAACTTTAGCCATACAATCATTTTGCAAGTTTGCATAACTTTGGCTTAAACTTCGGTAAGACAAATAAATTTTGGCCAAGTCAAAATCAAACAGTTTTGCCACCACCATGGGCTCTAACTCTTGGACCCTGCAAGGGTGCTGCTATTCGATCCACGCATATCGTTGTGTTTGGAATCAAACTCGTGTTATATACATATACACTCTGCACCACCAAACTTGCATTAGATAACAATTTTAATCCTCTTTGCACCTAGTATGAATCCCAATAACACCAAAATGACATGTAACACTGAATCACTAACAAATACATGTTAGGCTTTTCCTCTATCATACGCATCAAATCATATCTTAATACTCTTGCATAATGGTGTTTGGGGGTTGGAATTTATGTCTTGAAGATCCAAAAATGAGAACTCAATATCTTCATATCTAAGGATAAAATGTTCTAATCTCCATCTCTATTTCTAATAAATAAATAGGTTGAATCTCCTACTGTCATGTGTCAAACTCTAACACCTCCTAATAATTATACATGTCACCTGTCACCTTTTTGCAATTTACTTTTACATTTAATTCATTTCAAATTTCAATTTCCTTTTATTCATCTTAAGACATTTAAACATATTATTTAATAGTTTTTACATTATCTTTCTACCATGCATAACTAACACATTAACAATTAACAATTAAAAATTAACAACTAACAATTAACAATTACATATCATTGAAATAACGACAGACCAATACCAATTTAAGATTAAAACTTCTTACATTACAATTACATTCTAAATAAAAAATCAATTAAAATTAAAATATTCATCTTAATATGAAATATGAAATATGAAATAATGAAATCAAAGATATTACAAGGTCATATATTTGCAGATTTTGTTCAAACAATTATTAGATGGTTAATTTTACTTTTTATATTTCCAAAATCATATCATTACTTTTTATTGTAATAAATCATAAGGTATAAATTAGTTGACTTTTTTTTAAAACTATGTTGGTTGCCTTCTTTTCTATTTCTTTTTTCTGTGTCTTTTTCTATTTTTTTTCTTTTGTGTAGGTTGAAAAGCATACGCCACATCTATGTTTTACAAAACAAATAGCCCATTGCGTATCCTACATGTATGTTTTGCCATCCATGGTCAATTCCCAATCTAAAGTTCAAAATAGAGAATGATTAAAATTGTTAATTTTAGATAAGGATGGTAAACTTAAAAATAAAACTTATAATGTTGTTTATAAAAAAGTTTTTAGAAATTTGTAAAATATTATTCCTCATAACATGTTTTCTTATTATTATTAATAAGACTTTATTAATTTTATTTATATTATTTGATTAATAATTACGACATTTTAGTATGAAAGTGTAATTAATTTTGCAACCATGGTTCCCACGGGTTATAAACTAGTAACTAATATAAATAGGTGTGGAAAGAGTGAAAGTTAGATGGCTAAAAAATTAAATGGTATATACGAAATTCATCCTAAATATAGACAAAGTAAAATGTGTAACAAGATTTTAGGATAGTGAAAGAGACGGCTGGAAAATTAGATTCAGGCATTTACTACAAAAGCAAAATATAGTCATTGTTTCCTTTGGTTAGAAGAAAGAAAGGGTGTTGAAAATAAGTCAAAAATTTACTCCATTTTCAGTCAAACAGTAAGAATAGAGTTTGCAACAACACTAGGCCAGCCAAACCAAAACAATGTACAGAAGAAAAAAAAAAAAAAAAAAAAAAAAAACGCCCCTCAACGCACAAACCTCTCACCCTTACATAATAAACCTTAACATTCCATTCATTCACATGCTACTTTACATTACTCGCCTAGAATTACAGAGAAATTAGATGGATGCATATCCCATGCTCTCTCTGGCCTTTCACAATTCACATCACAATAATTGAGTTTGAGGTTTCAGCAGTCCCAACTTGGACTTGCAGCAACCCTTCTGGTTTGAGGTCCCAAACCCAAACCCTGCTGTCATCCGGTGTATCTCTAATTACACAACTACAGGCCAACACTTGATACCCCTCCTTTGAATATAATAATAATAATATAGCACCTTCAACACATATCATGTCCTGTCACCCATTCGAGTCTGATAACAGACTCAGAACCTCATTGTCCCTAAAATTTGATTCAACCGCAAGCTCCAAAGGGGTTTTGCCAGCACCGTTTACAGCGTGAGGATCAGCCCCTCTGCAAAATTATTTATACTCTCAAGTAACTGATTGATACTTGATAGATAAAACTTAAATGCAGTGTGTAAAAGAAAGGTTACCTTGTAAGAAGCAGCCTTGCACATGCAGATTTGCCTCTGAGGATACAATGATGGAGTGGTGTCTGGCCTCTTAAATCAGGAACATTTACATTGGCACCATACTGTAAGAGCAGCTCAATCATCCCAATATCTGCAGTTTCACAAGCAAGATGGAGGAGGGTGCACCCCTCGAATTCCTCCATGCCAAGTCCTTGCGCTTCACTTGTGCCTGCTGCTGCCATTGATGAGATTGAGATTGAGATTGAATCACTACCCCCTGGCGTCGTCTGCTCTTGCAACAGCATTGCCTTAGCAAGGGTTAGAGAAGAATTACAGGAATCTTGCATGTAAATGTAGTTCATGTCTGCTTCAAAGTTGACAATCAGACGGTATGCAGCTTTCTTGTCATTAGCACGAACAGCCTCCCATATATGTTGTGTCACCAGACTACGATCCTTGGGCTTTCGTACGAAAACTTTTAAAGCATACTGCACCCAACAACAAGGAAATTTCAATCGCAACACACAGATACATACTACTAGAACACAAGTATAAATTAGAACAAAGATAAAACCTTTGCATGGATGAACTTCTCCTTCACGGCTATGGAATCAGAAGGACTGGGTTTACAGAAATAAAGAAGCTGGGGCTTATCAGAAGAAGACTTGTAAAACCTTCAAAAAAAAAATATTTAAAAATGAGAGCACAAAACATAAAGAAGAAATGAACTGGGGGGGGGGGGGGGGGGGGGGGGGGGGGGGGGGGGGGCAGGGTGTTTACCCAGTAGGAACCAGTTCCGTCTTATATGCACCTTTGGACTGTAATAATTCCTCCCAAACCGAATTAGCAAAGGCATTGCCTAAAGACTGAAACAAGGTGATCACAGACGGCTCCCACACTTTGACATCAAGTGTCAATGAACGTACCTGCAACGCAAGTAACATTATTATTACTATTATTATTATTTCAATGAATTAGCAGTGATTGGTGTATGAACCAACCTTTGATATGTGCACACCAAGGTTGCGGTGGACACCAGAACATTCAATGCAGACAACAACTCCTAGATTCAAGCATGCCCAATCGGGGTCAGAGGCACCACAGTCTGCACACCTGTCATTTCCACAAACCCTATGCAGCACGTCTATGGGTTTCTCAGGTTTCAGACCTGATTGCTGCTGCTGCTGCTGCTGATGATGATGATGATGATGATGTGAAATTCTTGATAGGCGGCCGGGGTTTGGATAGGCAGGCCTCTCCCTCTCGGATGCATACTCTTCAACAGCTGTGTGATCGAAATCAGAACTTTCAAATGAACTGCTATCACTGGCGGATCGATGATGGCTACTGCCCATAGGACTACCAGATAAACACTGAAAACATAAACACAAGTCAAGAGATTTAATTTTAACCAGATATTCATAATTTCATATGTCTGTTGAACTAGATTACTCACCCTCTCAGGAACCTGAGAGCTTAGCAATGACGCAATAACTCCTGTTATCTTCTCTATCCAATCCATCTGATCAAGGGTGCTCTCTGCCTGCAAAGTATAATTTTTTGTGGGAGAAATAATCCTGAAGCAAAACCTGAGGTCGGATTGGTCAGCATCAACCTTTATTGTTGAAGTCAAGAGGTTAACAGTGTGATGAGCAACAGATTTCTCATCATGTACTCCACCTCCACCATGGTGATGATGAGAAGAAAGCCAACGACTGAGCAGCCCATGACCGAGTTCAGAGCTATTCCTCTGACCAGAGATTTGACTGCCAGAGCCCTGTTGACGAAAATATAAATATAAATATAAATAGTAAAGCAAAGCAAGCTGACTTACAGATGGTTTGCTGCTTTGTTTGCGGTAGTAGTAGAGCATTCCTCGGCTATCGAGAACAAAAAACCTTCGTTTCCAGTCGCCCCTGAGGTTTGAGGAGCGCTTGGAAAGATATCCTTGGCGAATGGTTTGAACCTTGCCCTTTGAAGCAGACTGCATGACCGCCTCTATCATTTTATGGGAGCTTCTCCCGATGGCTTGAATGCCATCCCCACCATTTGGAGATCCGTTGGAACCATTTGTATTTGTATTTGAATTTGAACACCACCTGCTCTCCCGATCAATCTGTCTTTTGTACTCTTGCATTCTTTCGTTCAGAGCTGCTTGCTCATAATTTGATCTCTCTCGAGATTGCTGAGCATATGTCAACACCTGCCCAGTTTTGTGTTTTTTTTTTTATATTAAAAATAAAACACAACAATACATGCAATGCATATGTCAGTATGTCAGTATGTCTAAACTAAAATAAATACCAAACCTGATTTATATACGGCTCCATCTGATGCAAAAGCTCGTATCCCTACAACAAGAATAATTCAGATTTAGATTTTAGAAAGCTCCACAAACACACTGCTACTATTGAATTGAATTGAATTGTTTACTTGTTTGAAGTAACGAAGATGGGCGTCCATTGTACCGCTCACTGCCTCCAGAAATTCAAATCTCTTTTTTGCTTCAACATTAGAAAGTGCCGTAACCTAAATAACAAACCAACAATTCTTTCATTGTTTAATAAGTGGCAGAAACAAATAATATACTAACCAGATTAAAGCGAGCTTGCTCAAAAGTAGCCCTTGCATTATGAAGGTCCTGCATGCATTTGTATTGTTAGGATTTTGCAAATTGCAATCACTGGTTTTGAGTTGGATAAATGTTCCATACCTCCTCCAAAACTGTAGCTACATCATTCTTGGTGCCTTTCTTCAAGGACAGAAACTTCTCCCGAGCCTGCAGTGCAATATGGATTCTGATTTCATTTCTTTTATTTTTCACTCCAACTCCATATTACTTTCTGTAAAACATTAATTAAACCTGACCTGGTCATATAGAAGACTGGCCTTGTCAAACCGTTTACGTGCCTCCTGTACCAAAAAAAACAAATCATTACTAACAGACAATTCAAAAAGTTACCTCATTTCAATTTTCAATTATAAAAGTTGATCTAGGGTACCCAAAAAGTCATGAGTTACATGTAAATTCAAGATGATGATATTCAATTGTGTTGCATGCTACATGTTACCCATCATAGGATCTATTACAGAAAAATCCCTAGTAGAAGGAAAACAATTTACCTTTACGTCATGCAAATCTATGTTCACAAATTGCAGTAATCGGTCATTCAGTATATGCTCGACCTGTAAGAGACAGAGTTGTCAAAATCGCATTTACAAGTGTCATGCAGAAATCCACTACAGTTCAACACAATTAAAGAATATGAAAAATTTTGATAAATCAAAGCTCCAACTACTTTCATAAAATTCGTATACACCTATCAGCAAATGATGCCTGCATAATATTACTCATTTTATTCAATGACCTGAGATCGAAGAACTTCCTTATATGTTCCAATCTCCCGTAGTGCAATTGTAAATTTTGTCATCACAGGACCTACGATATGAGAAAAATTAATATCGATGACAGAACTAGTACTATTAATCAATCATCATAATGATATGATGAATGGCATTGGCATGATGCCAACAAATTGATTGCCATAACCAAAATAGTTTTTAAATTTACCTCCAAAAGCGACACTAATCGGATCATTATGTCCTCCGCCAAATGTTTCAAGGGTGCTGGCAAAAGCAATGTCCCCATCATATCCCTCACCAAGCCCTTCGCTGCATGTATGATGTATCATCAACAAACACATATTAGTTATTACAAACTTGGAACACAAAACCAAAACAGGTTATAATTTATAAATATAAATACAGTATATAATTATATATCCCTTCAGTGTCAAACTCCAAAAGTAAAATCTAGACTGATATGCAACTCATATTTCAATTAACAATGGATATCAAGGCTTATTGCAAGCTAGACATCAACCAAATAAAAATTAGGGAAGACAAACTTAAGCAGTACAAAAGAAAAAACATTTTTAATAATTGATTGAAACTCACGTATATTTTCTACATCCTTTGTAGAACTTTAAGCTTCTATCCCTCAGCAATTCGGCACTTTCCTCTAAACATTGCATCTGTTACATGAAATTTGGTATTATCATAAGCACAAGACAGCCTTTTGAACCTCAAAGAAACTTGATGATAAATAACTAAGTATTGTATGATAGAGATCAGGTTTAAGCTGCATGGCAAAAAAACAAAGGACTATATGCTGTTTGGAGTGGCCTGCTGTACCCAATTCTGTGGCTTTAATCACATCCACATTGAAATTTAACTTCTTACTACCACCCCAATAGACAATAATAGTATTATGGTACATACTGAACTGATCAGTCATAAATCATAATTCATGTGAAAGCGCTTTCAAAAGAATGGTCCTGCTGCATAACAATTAACATGGCATGGTTCAAAAGGCTTAAGGTTCAGTCCTATTCCATAGACTGTTTGGATGGTTAAAACTATAAAGTATGACCATAAACAAATTTCACATTGGATTTTCTTTCAAGTGCAAAAGCAAAACCAAGATGAGTTCTACTACAACTTTGCAGTACTTGTCTCAAGTTAAACAGCAAAACTAAAATTGTTGGAAAATCTACAATTTAGGCAAACGGGCCCAGATGCTGAGTTCCGGCCAAATTGTGACAGCTTCTTACCCTTAAACCCAGGTTATGTCATGTTCACATCAACTTAAGACCCTTTTATTTGCAATTTTTCAGTGATCATGTACGACGACCAGCCATGATTCCACCACACATAGGGTTCCATAATACGCGCTCTAACTCGCAAAGCTAAAGTTTTGCCTTTTTTTTTTGTGTGGTAGGGAGGATGCTATTTTACCCAAATCCTATTTCATAATTAGATAATTAATTAAGAGGCTTCCAAAAACTTACCCTTATACTAAATGCGTATGCATATTTTGTTGTAAAATGCAGAGTTCGAAGAAAAAGAGAGAGCTAGGGAGAGATGAAAAAGCCAAAGAAGAAGAAACCTGTTTACGGAACATCGGAGAGTCGTCGAGCTTTGCGAAATGCATGATTGCAGGTTGAGAGACTGGTAGAAGAAAAAAATAAATCCAATCTTGATTCAGACTAGAATGCTTGATCTTTAAAGACTTGAAACACCAACATAATCATGAAAAATCTGTAAAACCCAGAAAAGATCTTTCATTGTCCTCCGATCTCAAAAACTTCATCACCAAAAGCAACCCACTGGATCAGAAATTGAAAGAAGAAAAAATGAGATTGAAAGCGTAAAAGAGGTTGTCGTTGCTGTAGGTTTGTCGGTACAGAACCCTAAGAGAAAAGGAAAAAGTGGGGAAGAAATAAAGAAATGAGAGAAAAAAGCGATGGAAGAGTGGAGTGAAGAAAAACCCTAGAGAAAGTACGGACTGAGAACACACACAGGAATTGAGTTAAATTAGGCGAGATAACAGCCGAATGTTTTTGTTGAAGAATACGAATGAAATCAAACCTAACTACTTAAAAAGAAAAAGGATTCATCGGAATTCCATCAAAAACCTCAATTTGTTGAATCCACACACATTTGATGATTGCGGTTATTATTATCAAATAAAAAAATAAACACAACACGACGCTTTTTTCCACGGTTTTGCTTACTACTTTTCTTTGTATTACTTTTTCCGGTTTATGCCTACCTGGCTGGCCTCTCCCTCTCGTATGTATGGGGTTTTGCATTTGAGCCCCCAATTACCGCTAACAAAAGATAACAAAATTCCTTCATTTTTTTATGTTTCAGTACATAATGAATCTAAATTATTTGATTAATGTTGTAATATAAAATATTTTTATATGTGGACATAATTTTATTAAACCTATTTTCATATATCGATGATACCATCCATGAAACATGTAATTGTCTTATTTAGTTTTTGGAATGAAGTGTAAGGAATCAACCAATTAGGTGTTGAAAATAAAAATAAAATAGTTTTATAGTTATTAGATGGATTTTGAGATGCAATTGATTGATTGATTAGAAAATGGACCATGGGCGGGGAGGGGAAGATGACAATACCAAAGACCAGGGGGCCTTCGCTCATTAAAATGACATAGGTCCACTCTCATAACTCACAGGTCATAGCACACCCCCGTATTATCATTTTCTGTTTTCTATTTTCCATTTTATTAAGAGTAAACTACATGATTGGTCCTTATACTGTGTTCAAGTTTTCAGGTTTGGTCCAACCTTAAAAATATTGATAGATCATGTCCTTCTGGTTTCAAAAAATTATAGTTTTGGTACTTACTACGTAGTGGCGGTTCTCTTTGGGTGCCCACAGTGGCACCACCGGCAACCACTGTTTTTTCTGTACGAAGTGTAAATTTTTCGAATTTTTTCTTTTTTCTACTATAAAATGTGTCACCGACAATAACTACTACGGACCGGCAGCACCTACTACGCCTCTGTTGCCACGTATAAAACACTATTTACCCTTATTCATGAGAAAACATTTTTGAAGGTGTCAAATTCAATCAAAGTTGAGGTTTGTTTATTACCAAAGTTCATTTCCTTCAAAAGTTATATATATATATATATATATATATATATATATATATATATATATATATATATATATATATATATATATATATATATATATATAGTTCGGCTAAGTAAAAACTCAAAAAATGGTGAGGATTGCGAGGACAATTCCCCACCATCCATTTCGTCAACAACACAAACGTCAAACCCAATACTTGGCCACGATACGTTTGCATGCGACACACGTCCATGATAATTAATATAGACTCGATGATTTAATCACGTGTGACGAACGTCCATAGAACGTCATTTAAGTGGGTTTTATTATTTATTTTTGTTTTTTTTATATTTTTTTAATTCAAAAAAAAATAAACAGCTATATACTCGGTTTTCACGTTTTTTATTTTTTTCGTTTTTTTTAAAAACTTTTTTTCGTTTTTTTCATTTTTTAATTTTTTTTTAATATCTTTACTACATAGTTGAAGATACTAGTGTTTTTGTTTATTTTTGTTTTTATTTTTTTGATTTATTTTTTGTTTTTTTTATTTTTTAAACTAAATATTGGTTTAAGTTTTAATGTTTAACAATAATAAAATTTTAAATAATAAGAATATTAAGGATCTCAATATTTTCTGTTCATACCTTTTTTTAATCATATTATATTTTGATCATAAAACTTTGAATTAAATTATTTTGAATCAAATCATTTTTTTAATCATATGATTTTGGATCAACAATATATTCAATTAAATAAAGTTTTTGTTCAAAAAAAATTATGGATCATTATATAATTTGAATCATTTAATTTTGAATTATAAAAGATATAATTAAGGATTATAAAATATTTGATTCTAAATATTTTTAGATCATAAACAAGTTGAAGCAAAAAAAAAATTGAATCATGAATATTTTGAATCATCACATTTTGGATCATATTATGTTCAACATTTAAAAAAAAACTAAAATTTCTTAAAATTAGAAAAACTTATTTTTGAAAAATTCTTTTTACAAAGTCACTAGTAGCTTGAGTAGAAATATCCTTTAAATTTTTATGATTTTTGGAGGAATTTTTTTTTTTTTTGGGAGTTTTTTATAAAAAAAAAAGAAAATTCAAATTTTCATGATTGTGCTTATTTGTAGAAAATTAAATTTTAAAACTTTGGTTTTTTTAGATTTTCTTTTTTAAAGAAAAAAAAATTATTAACAAAAAACTAAATAAATAAATAAATAAATAACTCATCAACTATATGGTTGACACATGTCGTGGAGATGATGGCGACACTTTTGACGCCGCGGAGGATTCCTACGAGCATAGCGAACGTGACTTCTTCCAATTTTACTATACTAGGTGAATCCTCGCGCGTTGCGCGAGAATAGAATTATATAGTTAAAATAATAACTTTTACCAAATTATTATTTAATACTTCTACTTTGAAACAAAATGTTAGTAGTAAAGCAAACATATAGTTAACATATTAGTTTTATTAAACATTATAGTTTAATTTTTAAGTCATTGTGATATATACAATTATTTGATAATTTTATAAACCGTTTAAAATTGTGTAAATTATATATCAAATGAATGATAATATAACGGGTATCAAAACGTGTGAACAAAAATATTAACTCTTCATATTTAAATCACAAATCTCTTCAAATACATTAATGTTTTTAATGAGCAAAACTTTAGAACCTTATAAAAGAAAGAAAAATAAAAAGTTATTAGTGATTACTAATTAATAATTATAAGTTAAAAACTCTTGAGTTGTAACTAATAAATATACATAAATTAGAAAACTCTTGAGTTGTAGTGTGAGTTTCAAATAAATGCGGTACTTGGAAATGTATATTTATTATATTTATTATTATTATTATTATTATTATTATTATTATTATTATATTCATCTAAATAATTGGTTTTGATGCATCATTTTAATCCCTTCAATTATTAAACATAAAGATATTTAATTATAAATTTATAACATACATAGGTGCATATACATGTTAAAAAAAATCACATATAATATATATATTTTTCGTAAATGTCATGTAATTCTTGTCGTAGTAATATTGATAAATTACTTTCATATGAAGAACATATCATGATAAGTCTATCATAATTACATATCAAATGTTCAAAATTATGTTATCTTTTAAATAGTCTTTTAAATATGTTGTGTAGGATAAACCAACAAAAAAATAATATAAAATAAACATAATCAAAATAGAAAAACTACAATCAAATAAATAAGAGCATTTGGTGGTTGAATATATAAATAAATACGTTACATAAACATACATTTAAATCAAAAGAAAAAACTAACATTCGTCAACTTTGCTCAAACAAAAAAACCTATATCCATTTTATGAATATTCTTTCTTTATTTAACACCATTCAACCATAGAAACTTGATGACAATTCTTCACTAACCTGCAATCAAAATATTTTTTTGAAAAAGAAGAATCAGAAACATATTCCAAGCAAAACATTGATGTTTGGAGAGTTACATTCAAGATTGAGTAATACACACAAATCACATATAAATATTAAATGAGAAACTCAATATAAAGAAAGAATAGAAAAGCTTCATTTGTTTTGGTTGAAAAAAAAATCATATTACAGTTACCATCGATGCGACATAACCCATTTCTTCAAATCATCATATTTGGATCGTGAATGCTTCAACTATATGAAAACTTTTGAATTACAATATCTTCAAATCCTTCTTACATGTAAGATTTTATATAACACAAAAGACACAAAAGATTGGCCTTTTTATAGTAAACTTTTCACTAAATGCTAATTAAACATAATATAAGTTATAAAACTTTTGAGTGTTAAATCATAATTAAGAAAACTTTTGAGTTGCATTAGTTAAAAAATGAGGTTTCAAATGAATGTGGTTTGAGGAAGTTAAAAAAGGGGGTTTCAAATGCATGAGATTCAAGAAAAAATGCTAGTTTTATAAGTATGTATGATTGTTCTCCATCATTTCCTTGTTACATCCCCACCTTATGAAAAACTTACACGATCAGCCCTTGATTTTTAATAAGTAATCATTTTTTCACAATGCATCATAACCATCCAATTTCACAAATAAACGACAAAGATTTGTCCTCATAGTCCTCACCATTTTTCGAGTCCTCACTTGATCCAACTTATATATATATATATATATATATATATATATATATATATATATATATATATGTGTGTGTGTGGTTAGGATTAAGATGTTCGTCGAGTTTTGCAGAATTTGTTGCCTTTGCTTCTCTTATGTCGCCCTTAAAACCTGATAATGGAATACAACTTATTACAGTAGACACTATATGGAGATGGTTGGTTTCCAAGTTGGCTATGAAAGGTGTTGGTAAAGAAATGACCAAGTATCTCAATGATTTTCAGTTCGGGGTCGGAATGTCGGGTGGCACTGAGGCCGTATTACATAGCGTCAACAAGGTGTTGAGTGAGTGTCACGACGATGAGTCTCTTTATATGCTTATCGTGGACTTCTCCAATGCCTTTAACCTTATAGATAGATATGCATTACTTCATGAGGTCAGATTGAGATGCCCTTCTATATTTTTGTGGGTAGAATTATTATATGGTCAAGCAACAAGGTTGTATCTAGGAGACACACATATCTAGTCCACCATCGAGGTTCAGCAAGGAGACCCCTTGGGACCACTTCTCTTTGTTATTGTATTGCACCCGCTCTTGCATAATATTAGAGACAATTGCAAGCTTCTTCTCCATGCATGGTACCTTGATGATGGAACACTTATTGGAGATTCGGAGGAGGTGGCCAAAGCGTTAGACATCATTAAGGTGATGGGTCCAAAATTGGGTCTTCAATTGAATATCAAGAAAATCGAGCTCTTTTAGCCCTCGTGTGGTAGGAAGTTTCATGAGGGGCTTTTCCAAGTTGGCATCGGGAGGCCGTCATTGGGGGTGAAACTTCTTGTGGGAGTTGCTAGTAGAGATGCTAGTTTCATTAGTATCTTAGACATAAAGAGAGCCAAAAGCGCTGTGAATTTGATGTGCCTTCTTCCACAACTGTCTAACCCCCAAAGTGAGCTCATTTTGCTTCGGTCCTATATGGGTATTGCTAAACTTTTCTCTGGGTTGAGGACGTGCCAACCCATTCACATGGAGGAGGCAACATT